CGCCTCAGTGCCACACTCCCTGTCACCCCTCCGCCCACCTCCACACCACACCCCCGCGCCCGGCCTCCGCGATGCGTCAGTGCTGCTTGGTCTTGGTGTATCGCTTGCGCTGGCCGGTGGCGGTGACGCTGGGCAGGCGGCGGCGGCGGTAGCCCTGTCCGAAGCGCAGGAAGCGGTAGACGGTGGCGAGCAGGAACCACACGAAGCCCACCACCAGCGCCACCGCCAGCAGGGCCAGCGCCACCACGTCCAGCAGCAGGTACTGGTACAGCGGCAGGTCGGCGGCCGCGCTGCGCAGGTGAGCGGCGCCGCCGTGCCGCGCCACGTACTCCACCCACCACACCGCCGACTGCAGCGCCGCGCGCGGCCGGTCGCGGAACTGGCGGGACAGCGCGCCCATCCGCTCGCGGTACCTGCAACACACACACACACGCGCGCGCGGTCACATCGTGATTGGCTCACGTAAGCTTCCGCGGCTCGATTCCATAAATTCTTGGCTGTCCGGGAGACGCAGTGGAAGCCTGCGACATGTCAGGCGAAACGTCGTTCTCTCAGACAACGCCGCCCGGATATCCAAGAATTCACATAGTGGTTTATTTTGCATGAAGCCGTACGATTATATCGACATAAACGGGTTCGGCGGTGTAACTGTTAGCGTGTCGGGCCGTTGTATCCCAGTTTGCCTGGTTCAAACCCGATCAAAGCCGTGGATTTTTAAGGACGAAAAAATCCTTCGTACGCCTTCTTTCGAAAAAGAAGTAAAGCCGGCTGTCCCATGTTGATGATTTACTGCATGTAAAAGATCCTCAAGTCTAAAAGCAGCCTCTAAGCTAAATTCAAATCGCCTCTTTCGTCGCCCGAGTTGTTTCTGCGCTCGGTAGAGAAAGGAGTGTAGCGAAATCTGCGTCGTCAGACGGAAAAGATGACTCGAGTCTCGCCATATAAAATAATGCATTAGCTAACTAACATAAACAACGAAACAAAAAAACAAATCTTTGGCGACCAATATTGGTTTTAACTCTCATCTGTCTGTTAAGACAAAACAAATGAGCTGTACATAGTGATGAATTATGAGTACTCTTACTCCAATAAAAGAATAAGACTTCTCGAGTCTAAAAGACAGCGTAGGGAACCTTAAATAAATACCAAATAAACCCATCTATACCGACGGCATATAGACAAATAAACCCATCTATATCATTTACCGAGTACCCATGAAAATGTTTAAATTGAATTATGTTTGTGGAGTGTAGTATCGACATGTCAGTAATGCTATGAGACATATAAATAGAAGTCAAAATTTTGTAGAATATTTCAAATAAATTTTAAAATAATATTTGCATTACTAAAAACAAATATCTGAGCACTACTATTATTCTCACTACTGGTTTTGAAAAATCTCAAAAATTGGAAATGTACTATTAAACGTCCTAGGAGAATTAATATGCAAGAGTGAAACATCCATGGAGAGTATTAACTAACATATTTTACATATGTGTTATAATAGAACGGTATCTCGTATTTTAAAGCAAAATTCAAATAATAAGAAACTCAAGTGTGTACAAATCTGTAAATGTAATTCACCGGAAGGTTCCAATAACGCCAAAATAGAGAAGTCGGATTGGCGCTATTGTCTGCAAGCAGAATAATAATCTACACTGACGTCCAATTGAATATACATGATATAACGACGGAGGATTATTGAACTATTCCAAACCGTTAGTATGAATATGCAGGACTTTCCCTATCAAACTCATTTCAGAAACGAAATTTACGAGCTTGTATTTCCGTAATGCGAAGTGATCTGTAAACTCTTTATCCTTCCTGAATCAACAATATTATGCAAGTAGCTTTCACAACAAGAACAGCGTTTTAGACAAAGCAATTTTCTTTTGGTATATTCAATGAATGATTCCTATTCTTTTCAATTCACGATTTTGTTCCTAGTATTTTGGGAAAGGTAGATTTTAGTGGCACCTGTTTAAAGTATATGAATGTTCAATACATTGCATTATAATATACAAATATATCATCATATTGTTTTCGAAAAATGTTTGGTAGCAATATACCGATAATGAATAAGACAATCAACTTATCGATAGTCCTCCCTGTAAAGCCGAGGTCGCTAAGGATGAAGATCTCGTGCCTGAAGGGTGGGGGTTTCTAATCTCGGCCGGGGCACGAATGTTTGGGAGGGTCTGTATGTTTGAAATAGCCCATTCTTCCTTCATCATCATCATCATCATCATCATCATTTCATACCTCGTCCCCCAGTGTCAAGAACCTTGGGGTGTAAAAGTGCATTATGCAGTTCAGAAATTTGTTTTCGGCGCGGAAGCTGCAATCTCAGAGGATGATTGCTACGCGATCGAAATGATCATTAGCAATATAAATTGTTGACACCAGACAACACCCTTAATTAACCATATTTAATTAACTGAATGTTCTGTGGCTGTTGTGTTCTTCAGCCCATTTGACTCTCCTTCCTGACCACATTTAATTATTAGAAGGTGTCTACCTCACCAGCGATCTAATTAACCTTCAGTTAGGTTGTCAGTATTAAGCTGTCAAAACAGTCGATTCTTATAATACCTGGGGTCCTCAATGAGGCGGTGCAGAATTCATGCATTATGCAGTTCAGAACTTTCTTTTAGGCGCGGAAGCTGCAAGCTCTGAGGATGAAAGCTACGCGATCGAAACGATCATTAGAAAAAATAAATTGTTGATACCTGTCAACACCTTTAATTAACCATATTTAATTATTAGAAGGTATCTACCTCACTAGCGATCTAATCAACCTTGAGTTAAGTTGACAATATTATCTGTCAAAACGGTCGATTCGTATAATACCTGGGGTCCTCAATTAGGCGGTGCAGCATTCATGCATTATTCAGTTCAGAACTTTGTTTTCGGCGGGATCTGAGGATGATCGCTACGCGATCCACACGCTCATTAGAAAAATAAATTGTTGATACCAGACAACAACTTTAATTCAACATATTTTTAACTGAATGTTCTGTGGGTGTTGTGTCCTTCAGCCCATTTAACTCTCCTTCCTGACCATATTTAATTATTAGAAGGTCTCTTCCTCACCAGCGATCTAATTAACCTTGAGTTAAGTTGTCAAACGTTCATTAGGAAAAATAAATTGTTGATACCTGTCAACACCTTTAATTAAACATATTTTATTAACTGAATGTTCTGTGGCTGTTGTGTTCTTCAGTCCATTTGACGCTACGTGATCGAAACGATCATTAGAAAAAATAAATTGTTGATACCTGTCAACATCTTTAATTAACCATATTTAATTATTAGAAGGTATCTACCTCACCAGCGATCTAATCAACCTTGAGTTAAGTTGCCAGCATTATCTGTCAAAGCGGTCGATTCGTGTAATACCTGGGGTCCTCAATGAGGCGGTGCAGGGCGTCTGAGAGGCGCTCCTGGGAGAGCTCGTCGTACTGCAGCACGATGGCCACGCCCTTCTCCGCGTAGCTGTTGAGGTTGAGGTGCTGGTCGCAGAACATGGGGACGCCCAGCAGCGGCACGCCCGCCCACACGGCCTCCTGCGTGCCCATGAGCCCGCCGTGCGTCACGAACGCCACCACCTTCGGGTGATCTGCAAGACGCAACCACCGAGTAATTAATTAATTGCTTGAATTTCTCTTGGGGAGTGGGTTAATTAAAAAAACTTCATTAGCTTGTCAACATTTCTCAACTTGATTATTCCCTCAACAAAAACCTTGATATCATAACATCTTGTTCATTACTACACATATTTACATATTTCACAATACACGTGTATAAGACACATACCATGTACGAGTGATATTTAAAATTCGGATATAACAAGAATGTAGATAATTGTTAAAACTAATTAGCAAAGTAAAGTGAGACAATTTTTAAAAACAATGTTTCTTAGAACTAGGGAATACGATTTATAATTATTTTAATTATTAATTTAATTGGTGTACGTACAAATATTTTGTTGTGTGTTCTACAGTCCTAATGAGGAAAAAATAAAGTTCAGGAACATTGTCAAGATAATATAGTTTTCTAAATAATCAACTCCTCTTGAGAAATACAAACAAGAAAATACGTTGGCTCACTGTGAACACTCTTTCGATTTATCTATTCTTTGAATCAACTATTCTTTAGGTAATCTATTTATAGTAACATTTAACATTATGAAAATCGAGCAAATTTGTTCTCGTGCAATAGATGCCAACTCCTTGAATGATGACTTTGTTACTTCGATTGGATAAGTTATCAGTTACTGTAGAATTCATCTCACAACATAAAATGAGTAATTTTCCAAATGATTCTAAAACTCTTTTGCTAAATTTAATTTTTGCCCACGTTCATCATTCCCAATTTTTCTGATGTAATTTTTTCTTACAAGCATTTCATTGAACAATGTGATAAAGGAAATAATAGTCGACAATCAAACACAGATATCAAGATATTAGCTACAGAATGGAATATATTTCATTGAACGGTTTACGTTAATGTCAAATAATTTTTTCATAGATTTTAATGCCCGACTGTGTTGAAGTAGGCAAGTTTAAAAATACAAATATATTTTTATCTTGTAGAAGTCATTGTTGTAGTATCTACGTTGTATAAATTACAACTCCAAAATGAGGTTTTCAAATCAAATGAAACTTGTAATTAGTTATGTCCTTACATTTACTAATTTTATAAACTAATTAATAACACATTTATCTAACATGCTCAGAATAGAAAATGTAACGATGTTAAACCTTTTCAGTTCTTCAAATTTTTCAATTCATCTTTCAAATGTTATGAATACTTTTTTTTCAAAACTGATTTTGATTTGATGATTTCTTGATTTTGCGTTCTTTATTTATTGCCTTTATACTGCTACGGCGTTAATTTTGCATGTTTGATTTTAAACATTGTACTTATAACGCTCCCCGTATACCGCCCTTCTCAGACCACATCGGAGTCTACACGAGGCCGCACACAGCGTCGGTGTGTGTGGCGCCCGACGCGCCCCACGCGGCCGCTCCGCGCAACTCGGGTCATTAACGGGGCCTTCGAATACATCTGTTATTGCCGTGATCGATCGACGGGTAGCGAGAGTAATCGTTTCGCATCAATCTGGCGGAATACAATTGTTTTATTAAGCCCTATAATTTTAAAGCAATTTAGAAGATTATACCCCTCGTTTCCACTATATATACAAAAAAAAAATATTTTCGTCGCTTAAAGCGAGTTAATCGTCAGGTATAAATATCAAAGCGGAGTTATTTTATTATTTTGACGCCTTCGAACTCCATGACCGTAAGTTGGGTGATTAATGCGGCCCGCTGACCGCTGAACTTTCCATCTCGCACTCGATTTGGCGATGTGGCCCATTTTGAGCGGCGGGGGCCGCGCGGGCGGCAAGAGCGATTACGCCAATGAACCTGGCGACCGCAGCGCCGCCCTGCGTCCTCCGCTGGCGAAGACGAACTGCCCGAACCGGTGGCCCTCGCCCGCAGCTGTTCCGCCGTCGCCCCGAAACACCCACGGCCGCCCCCCCCCTCGCGCGCCCCACAGCCGGGTTTTTTAGCCCCTTACTTCTGGATATTCGCAGCTTCATCCGGCTTTTTAAATTTGCGCGGTAAACATAGTTATCAACAAGTTTTTATTAATTAATATTATATTATTATTTATTTTACATATTTATATTACATTACATTACGTTACATTATATTAATATTATATTATATTAGGTTATATTATATTATATTATATTAACATTATAGTTATGTTAGCTAATTAATAGTTATTTTGTAATTTTTTTGCTTTGAAGTTGTACTCAGTTAAAGCTAAATCATGACTATTTTAACTATTATAAAAAAATAATGATTCACAAAGAATTGAGATATATTTTTGGACCAATGACAGAGGAAATATTTTAGACCTTACAACTAAGATCTCCGAAATCACTGAAAACGACTTGAAGTCTAAATTGATTTTCATTGAGATATTGAATAAAAAAAATTTGACGTACAGAGATGCAGGCCTTCCCATAAAAAATCGAATGAAAATACAAATTTACTAGTTAACTTGCAATAGTCTACCTGCGCATGTAAAAACCAAAATAACTATTAACAAAAATGAAATTATCTAACGCTAAAATAGTCTGTAAACACTACAAATAAAGGATAACGAATTCCAGAATTCGTGAAACTTACAAGGGTAAAATTGTACCAAATGTTCTTTCGACAACCCGTTGTACCTAAATAACTACACTATACATTCTGGTCAGTTCAATATGAAACACCTTTTTACATTTTCAAAGAGCAGCCACATTGCAATACTTGCACACTATCGGGCAAAATGTTGAAGCGCTTATTTGCATTTCGAATGTGACTCGGAGAGGAAATCTCAGGTCTTCATCCTCTGCGACCCACGGAATGTCCTAATCGAGATCCATGAATATTTGCCAGTTAAATTATTGAGAATGTAAATTTTCAGTGATAATAATAGTAATAATAATAATAATAATAATAATAATAATAATAATAATAATAATAATAATCACATAGCAGAAAAGGTGGTCGACAACTTCAAAACCAAAATTACTTTGGGATTTCAGCATCTAAATAGTCAAATAATTTGTGAAACATCATTTTTTTCACTCCAATTTTTATCACAACTCTACCTTTATTGTTGAAGGTATTCCGGAAAAAAGCATTCAACTCTTACTTGACAGATGTTTATAACTTATTACCTGTATATAATATCCTGCGAATATTTACTGGTAAGCAAACATTGATTTGGTATCTGGTATTAATGCGCGATTTTTGGTTTGAAAAAAATGTATACCTCATTATAGAGTTATTTGTTCGAGGACATGCGGGTTTATTTTATGCTCGTACATACGTCGTTCACAAGTATTTTGAAGTTTTTCACATACATTTTGAATACTTTATGTTGACCCATAAGAACGAAGTAAATAATTGCTTGATTTATTTCAGTAATACTAAATTATTCCATTAGATACATTTTCAGACTTTTCCCTGAAATTAATCGATACATACAGATATGAATATGATCAGTTGTTTGCTATGAATAGTGTTTGCTATGCTACGTATATGAACAGTTTGTTTGCGATGTACTATTTATTATGTATTCAAGATGTTTGCGCATTATTAAATCATTCATTATTCAGTTTCTCGAGTGTCAATTGAGTGGTAATTTATTTCTCTCATTCTCTCCCTATTTTTTAATATTATTTTTGTTTCTATTCTGCTTGCCACCTATTGTTCTCAACCTTCAAAGCGTTTACGATTTTTGACGATTTCGCAAGAATAAAAAGATAATGTCCAAAGCATAATTTTACCTTAAAAATAAATCAAAAAAGGCCAGTAATGGAAATAGTCGTTGCATTTACATTTTCTGCATAGCGTTCTCGTGTCAGTAATGTTTGAAGAGCATTTATAAATAGAAAATTGTTACTAAAAGAAATTGATGCTAGACTATTATAGGTATAATGGTACTAATAGTATAATAAATTTGACAAAATTTAGTACGTAATGTCTAAATAATAGACGCATAACAACTGCTCACTATTAAATATTTTGGTAGGTCAACCTTGTTTAGACCACTTTCACCTCTTGAATATTGATTTCCCCCGTAGGTTCGTTATGAATTTCGGCCGTAAAGAGCTGACAACGGCTTTTGTTACAATAATTTTCCTGCTTGATGTATGTGACAGGCTGTAAAACCGGAAATAAATTTGAAAAATTGTTTCATAGCAGTTCAAACATGCATAATTTTTATTTATTCGCCGAGGTATCACAAGTTACATTTAGCTGTCAATATCAATTCACGCCGTCATAGCCGGCTGTTCTGCAGTTGTCACTGGGCGCTAAACGACGGTCAGAGCTTGCAGCTATGTTGCAATCTGGCATTGCAATATCATGCATTTTATGATGTAGTTCACACCATTAGAATGGCGTGGTACCATGTATTTACTGGACAGTGAGTCTCTAAGAGTTCTAGGAAAACCATGCATTCACATTGCATTGAAATCTACAATTTTTATTCTATACATGAATGTGAAAAATCCTGTTCATATGAAATGCATTGATGAAATAATTCACTTCTCATGTAGTGATTCATTTATTTCTTATCACAAATAATTTGACTATTTTCACCAGCTTCTTTTCTTTTCCTTAGGTGAAAAAAAGGTTTATAGTTGGAAAGGTTTTTAATTTTTATAATATCTGATTGATTTATTGTTATATTATCTATTTAATATAATTTTAATTTTAAATACTTGTTTCAAACACATAAAATGTAGTCATTATATATTCCTTCTGATATATACTGCCAGACAAATATGCATATGACTCCTTGTTTATGTCAACTCAAATTCTAATTTCAGATTATTCATTTTAGGAATCTTAAAGAACTGCGATATAAACATTTTCAAAATTCTGTTTAATTATTGCAACAGAGTAATTTCTTGAATATGATGAGATATATTAATACATTTTTTCAATTAATTTTACAACTATTATTGTAAATATTTACTCATAGCGTAAATATTACGGATTTTGAAAACAATTTGGAATGACTTTGTGGCTTGACATTAAAGGA